TGTTTTGAACTTAAAACACAAAACCACGTCTTGATTGTAACATACTACTCTGTTGATAAATACATACCTGAACTGTTATCCTGGACTTTAGCTGAGGTTTGGTAGTTAGCTGATTCTACAGCTGATATGGTGCATGGGATGATATATACAGAGATGCTGGTAAATTGCCCTGCTAGTAGATTACTCTCAGTCAAAAGTGGGGTGCAACTTAAGCAAATAGCCTTTGCTTTGCCTAAATTAAGCAATCCAATACAATTTTACTTTTGTCCACAATTTTTACATCATACTAACTTTCTGCCACATGAGCTTCAAAAATCAGTCAGCTGTACTAAGAGATTGATTTGTCAGAGTTAGCGTTTTTTGAAAAAGTTCTGGAGTGCATGTCACAACCATTTTCACTCCCTTTAATCTTCATCCTGACACAAGAGAATGGGAGGGGGGGAACCAGCAAATAAAAACTAATTTTTGTACCCTAAAACTATTTTTGTACCCATTTTGTAAGTCTCAAGAGCTGAGCCTTCATAAATTAGTTTCATTTTTCTCTCAATACAAGATTACAAGTCAAAATGGGAAACTTCAAAAAATTGTACAACTTGTTGATCTAATACACTCGTGTGCAAAATAAAGAGAATTTGGAAATTATGTTTATTTTTATGAAAAGTATTGAATGAAAGGTACTAATTATGGCACCAAAGAATTTTGCAAATATTCAAAGTCGAATACATAAGCATACACATGTATATCTGCAGAGCTGTTGCTGTGGAAGGGATATAAGTGGAAAAAGAATTTTTGGTGACTTCTGTGCTCGTATTCCTTCACGACTTTTGCCATGTTTCTTGCAACAGTTGGGTAAATTTTTAAAGTAGAAGGTAAAATGATTAACCATGAACATATGGATGATGCAATGAGATGGAGAATTATCAGTAGACTGGAGGCAGGCCAGTCACAAGTGCAGGTGAGTACAGAGCTCAATGTAATACCCAGTGTCATCTGCAATTTTGAAAACACTTTCATGACACTGGATCCATACTGAGAAGACCTGAACAAGATCCATCATGACAAAAGAGGATCATTATTTGGCACTTTCAACGCAGTGACACAGGACTGCCACAGCTTCACAGATCTCACATGAGCTGCATGCTGCCACTGGAACCCAAGTTTCAGTCTACAGCTGCTCGAAGGCTTCATGAGATAGGATTTTATACCAGAAGACCAATGTTTGCATCTCATTCACTGCAGCACACAAGACAGTGTTTAGCATGCTGCACACAATAAGCACCTTGGACCAGACTTCAGTGAAGCACTATTTTTTTCACAAATGAGTCAAGATTCAACTTGGACGCTGATTCTTGACATACCTGTACCTGAAGAGAACCTGGAACATTATGCCATCACATCCTGATCAGGGAAAAGGATGATTATGGTGGTGGAGGTAGAATGGTTTGGGCAGGCATGCTGAATGGCTGCATACCCCTGCATGCGTTTCACAAAGGTTTCCTGACTGTTATAAAGTATAGACAGACCTTAGAGCCTCTGTTCAACTTTTCAGGGGTGCAGTTTGTTAATAAATGAGAGTGCTCATCCATATAGGGCTCAATTAGTCAAAAATTACCTGGAAAGTGAGAAACATTGCTGCATGAACTTATAAGGTATTTCACACGCCTTCTTAGCATGCCTTTGTGGTGTAGTGGTCTGCATGCTTGGCACGTATTCCAGAGGTCCAAGGTTCAATTCATGGCGAAGACGTTGCTAATTTTTCATTTCTAAAAAAAAATACCAAATGTCTCTACAGTGGCACCTGAACTAAAATGGTCATGGATGATGATTCTCCACACCCAGGAGTTGGCAACTGGGTCCCCTAAAATCCTCAATTACCCTTTAAAAGGGGGAGTATATGAGGTATTTCTCCTGCCTTCTTAGCATGTCTTCATTGTGTGGCGGTCTGCACGCTGGGCGCGTATTCCAGAGGTCCGTGGTTTGATTCACAGTAAGGAAGTTGCTCATTTTTAAAATCTCCTGCTTTAAAAAAAAAAAAGAAAGAAAAAAAAAAAGAAAAAAAAACTAATGTCTCTACTAACTGACCTTAACCCTATACAGTATGTCTGGGACAATCTTGGGGGGATAATTTCATTTTGCTATTCCCATCCAAGAACTAGCCCGGAGTTGAACACTGCCTTGTTACAGAAGTGAGGTTGACTGTAACAAATTCCTCAAATGCCTCCTGTCCAGTATCCTGTTATACTGTGCTACCTGTCTGGCTTTGAGAGGGGCTTTACTGCATATTTGACTCATTTCCATTTCGAGAGCCATCCAGGGGCTGAGCAGTAAAGTTGCTGCTGAACACTGGTAGTTTAGTCTGGGTTTCAAAACCTGGCAAATGGCCATTTTTGTGGTTTTCCTCATGTCTAATGTGTATACCAACCAGTTTCCTTAGAAAGTCCTTCACAAAGGCATTCTTCTCTTTAGGCAGATAGCCCTCGAGTGCTTTGCCATAATCAAACAAAGCAATCCAGTTCGATATCACAATGTGGACTTTGGACATCTTTGCACTGTAAGCTTTACTGATAATCGTGTACATAAAATGACTTTCGAATGACACAGCTCTTCCTCTGTTATAAATGTATATTCACACCAAATTTCATTAAAATATGTCCGTTAGTTTTTCAGAAATTCAACATAATGTGCAAAATCTTTTAATTCTGCACATGAGTATATATTCTGAAATTTACACAGGGCTGTGACACAGAAGTTTTAATATGTAAGTATGTTAACAAACAAACTTCAATTTTAGGGATATACATTATGATTAAAAAAATTAAATCCAAAATTATAATGAATGAAAATGTTGGTTCATTTTTCTAAACAGCTACACACTGGCCAGTCCTCTCAGATAAAAAGGCCATCCCTCTTTTCAAAGATGCTGACACCAGTAATGAATTATAAATTCTACCAATACAAGTCCCTTCAACCAAATATTATTATTATTTGTCCATTCATTGTTTGCAATAAAAGCATAACTCAATTTTGCAATTGATACACGTACAGTCGTGTTGGAGACATTACTGACAGTTCACTGAGCCACTGGGGCCACGTCAGTCACACGCAGCCAACAAAACATTTCAGTTTCAATCTCAAATACATTTATGTTGGTCACTTTTCTTATGCACTGTTGTATCAAATATGAATGATCTGACACTGTGGTATCTAACTTTGGCTATTATAGCCATTGATTAGTATAGAAGTATATGTTAAAACTTACAGATGGTACATTACCTACAAGTTGTACATTAAAGAATTTACAAGTGACAGTCTTACTGATATAAATCATTACTCTTATTTAAGTCATAGCATCGTGAGTAGTCGATTACAAACAGTTCGATGATGAAGCTAAGTATGTGTACTCACTCTTCAGTTCTGCCAGCTTCCATAAATATTACATGTATGCATTTCATTTACCTTGTAGTAATCATTAGCATATCACTGTTGCATCAAGGCCCAATTGAATTAGTTTCCTCTCGAATTTCAAAGGCTATGAATGCACTACCAGAATACATCTGGTCCTATTTAAGGAACCTTTTTGTGTTAGATTCTTTCAATCACATGGCCTGAACTCAACCATTCTACCATATAGCTGATAAACTTGATTTTTTTCACCTAATTTTCTGGCTTCCTTTTAGATTTTGGACAATACACAGATTATGCCAGATTTTATACTGTCTTTTGTGAGCATACTGTTCACTGTACAGGATACAAAGCAGCACAAATTTTTATCTCTCTGTCTGAAGAGCACCTGCCAAAGATTGGCACACATAAATTTATTTTCCGGAAGCATTTCCTTGAAGTTTCAGCAGAGGTAGTGCATTCAGGTATGCAGAGTATCCCAAAAAGTCATTTACAAATTTTATATGCTGGTCTATGAGACCATGAACAAAAAAAAAAAAAAAAAAAATGTCTGAAAATCAAATGAACCAGTGCTGCAGCAATATGTGTGACACACAGAGAAAGGGAGACAATAGTGGCATTAGCATGACTTTATTAAAATGATACATATGAAGGAAATAATCATGGTTACAGAAAATGCTCGAAACTCTTTCTAATCATTGCAATATATGCTACATAACGTCAGCACATTGATTCATGGACTCATTAAAACTGGCTAGGTATATCAGACACCTGCCTCTGCTGCCACAATCCTGGCAACGAGATCAATGTCATTTGTTATGGGTCATCATACACCTTCATGTATCCCCACAAGGTGTATCCCACATTCATGAGGCTGAGGTGAGAGGATCTCGCTGACCTCTCAATATCACGTAACATAGCTTCTTCTACAGCATGTGTTCACATAGTTTATTGCTGGCTGATGTGGCTACTTACTCAAAAAACTCTAGCGACACTTAATCATCAGTGCTATTGTCCAAACAACAGATAACTTGGTAGCCATCTGTTTGGGAAGAGGTCTTAGTACATGCATCTCACCTATTATCCATTTCCATCCATGGCCACATAAATGTAATGCATATCAGCCAATTCCTCATTACTACACAGATGCATCATTCTCCTGCAACATCATCATCTGAAGCAATCCCACTTTCCACTCTTCAATATACTTGTGAATATTGCACTCTAGCAGCAGATGGTCATGGTTTCAGACACAACTTCCTATATAAAACTGGTTTGTAAAGTTTGTAAATGACCTTTTGGGACACTCTGTATAATAAGATCTCTGTTGTGTAGTTAGTACTAATACTTACTGTAATCTAAGCTAAAAATGCCTTGTTTATTAAATCAATGACCTTAACAGAAACAAGTCCATATTCTTACTCTTTATGTTAAATATGCCGAGTTGCACACACAAGTATTGTATAGCATATTTCATTTTAAAGACTTTCTTGAAAATATGGAGATCTCAGAAAAATCCCACATATATATAATAGAACATTTTAAATGGAGGGGGAAAAAAAAAAAAAAAAAACACATTAAAATGAAAGCACATTTACCTGAGAGATACCAGTTAAATTTTTGCAAAAATCAGATAGTTTAGGATTCAAAACAGGCCTGACAAATGAATGAAAGAAATCCACCTGAAATCCAGAAAATTTATTTTATTCATAATATATTCTCATAATAATGCTAATTACATTATGAATTACAAATCATGAAAATTATCACTTTTTCCCTTATTTTTATTCACTACATAATATTTAAAAATATGGAAAAAATAAGAAATTAGAAAATCTGATACTATTTATATAAATGTTGTGTCTCTAAAATGGAACTTATTCATAATAGCAGAGCAAAAGGACAAAATAATAGCTCTGTCAGCAGAAAAAAGAAAAAAAAAAAAAAAAGCATTACAAATTCTGAAAAAATACAATGTACACAAAAGAGAACCTGACTTTGCCTCAGATTGATTGTGATTCAAGTGTTTGAATTTTTCAAATGAAAACAATTAGATTCATCTAAGAGATTCTAAGTGTTTGAAAAGTTTTTTCTAACACTTAGAATCATATAGGTTTTTTACACCTAGAACTCCAACAGCGCAGTGACCACAACATGAAAACTTTCATTCTTTAAAAATCAGTCTAATTAATAGTTTGCTAGAATTTCTCCAACAGAAAAGGAACACCAAATGGTTTCTAATAATGGCTGCTGGAAGAATCTTCAACCCGCTAGGTCTTGTGACTCCTTTTACTATCCGTTTCAAGAGCCTCTTTCAGGATATATGGCAAAGAAAACTTTCTTGGGATGAAGCTTCACCTCCTGATATAAGTGAGAAGTGGATGAAGTAATGTAAAGAAGTTCCACAACATAAAATTTAAAGGTGACCATGAAAGCTGCAGACTATCTGAACATAACTGTGGATCAGTTGCAGCCTTACATGGTGTTTGTCTTCCCAACTGGAAATGGAATCTTCCAACAGGAAACATCCAATGACACAATTGTATGATTGTGACACAATTGTCGACAATTGTGTTGGAAATGGAATCTTTCAACAGGAAACATCCAATGACACAATTGTATGATTGTGACACAATTGTGGACAATTGTGTTGGAAATGGAATCTTCCAACAGGAAACATCCAATGACACAATTGTATGATTGTGACACAATTGTATGATTGTGACACAATTGTCGATAATTGTGACACAATTGTCGAATTGTGTCGGAGTAGTTCGAGGAGCATACGGATGAATTTCAGTTAATGTCTGGGCCACCTAACTCGCCAGATCTTACCCCAATAGAGCAGAATCGGGATGTCGTGGAGTGGCAGCTCAGAGCTCAAACACCACCATGTTGAAATATCTCAACATTGCATGACCACTGCCATCCATGCCAAGGCAAGTTGCAGCTGTTTTGTAGGCATTACTGAGTAGGTGATCAAAATGTTTTGCCTTTTCAGTGTATATAAATATATATATGTAAGTATAACAGTTTAAATGGAGGACATAATAAACACACAAATAATGCCCACATTCTTTTAATTTTAGATAACTGTGCTGCTCAACCTAGCCACTTATGCCTTTTCTGAAAGCAGAGCCAATTGTGTATATACTACAGTTTCTAAGTAATTTGGAAAATATATCATATGATGTTAGCAATGATACCTGATGCTGACAACATTTCAAGCATGCTAAATATAACTAATCAATATTATTTAGATGATAATATTGCAAAATATGTTGAAAGTGTTCATAATTTTGATAATTATGAACACATCCTGTGTAGCAAATTAACTGATTCAAAAATTTTTGAAAAGGATGTTAATGAGATTTTTTTTACAAAGGGAAAATGAAACTCTACTGCTAATGGTGATAAGAAAAATGCACACTATCTTTTGGTGCTAAAATAGTAAGAATATACAAGAAAATGAAATAACACACTTAAGATAATGTCCAATGAAATATGTTGAGATAGTTACTACTGATTTATTGAGATGTTTGCAACTATAATCAGCATTGGAGAATTAATACTATAAGGTTTTATGCTAAATAACTGAGCTATCTTTATAGCTTGCCTGCATCTTTACTTCTACTTTCATCAATTCCCATCAGAATGCAAATTAAGAATAAGAATTCTTCAGTTTGAAAGAGAGGTTTTGGCAGCCTTGCTGACAAGCATCATAGAGATATTATTATTCAGGTGTGAATAGTCCATAGTTTATTCATTTACACCTTATGACAGATTTTGGTTTATTCATATATTCCATTAAAAAAATTTGGGAATACTGATATCTGCAGAAACTTTGTCTACAGACAATGCTCAAGCTATAATGGATTTTCAAGAAAACTTGAGCTATCAAAAATAGATTCAATAAGGCATATCTTTTTCAAAACAGCAGTGAACATATATACTGCAATGTTATTGACAACTTTTCAAAATAAATTGCATACTACATAGCTATTTTTATGTATTCCATCCAGATCCCACTTCTAAAAACATTTATGATAGTCATTAACTAGCTTCCTTGAAGATTGCTTCCCAATATTTGTTGGTTCATTGCTTCCATTTTGAATTTTTTTTAATTCAATGCCTCATACCCTTGCAAGAATTATATGTTAGATATCCTTCAAACATAATCTGTGAACATTAATTAAAGAGCATATAAAAATTATGTATATTTATTGCAATAGCGCTAAATCTCACTACATAATATGGAAACAAAATGGTAATGATTAAGCTTATAAATGCATTGATTCTAACGAAATAGACACAGATTCTTGCTGTAGCATGTATACTGGTATGTATTGTTAGAAAAAGCTGCTTGCACAAAATGGATGAATATCAGCAATACACAGTATTTTCTCACATATTATCCTCTTTTTATTAATTTTATTGTCCAAAAATTGAGCAGGGAAAATTCATTGATTAATTTAAATTTCTAAAGGACATGGTTACAATAAGAAGATAACAATGAAACCAGTCATGGATAACTACAGGTAACTATCACAATTTTATTTATTTAAAACATACCTATATTCCAAAAATAATGCATAGTGATAGTAACATCTAATTAGATATTTCTACTTCCCCTGTAACTTTTACCTTCTGCACTCTTAGTGTTGTCTCTGCTACTCCTTAGGTTTCAGATCTTCCATAAATAACTAGAGAAGGTAAATGTACAGCTGACTCAACAAAATCATAGACTGAATATCAGTTTGTGTTTGCTTTACTGTGATTGGCCAGTCTTGTGTTAAGCTGGCATAAAGTTCAACAATTAAAAGGGAAAGTCCGGCATGACCTCCACAGGTAGTTTTTGAGGGTTTGTCTTTGCTATTAAGATAAAAACAATCATTATGTGGGCAAACCCATTTTAAAATTTAGGTGAGATTGTTTTGTGAACTCATTAAGGAAGGGGGGAATTATTTAAATATTTACAAAATTTTCAGAACTTGGTGCTAAAAAAGCTAGGGGGAATATAGGAAGAAATACGATAATAAAATGAAAATTTAGGCAATGAAATTTTCTAGATGTCTTCTTAAGCTCTTCAACAAACAGTTAACCCTCACACCTCTTCTCAGCACCCATATGGAAAACTATTGTCTAAAGCAGGAATGGGCACAGTATGGCAAGCCGGAAGATTCTATCCAGCCCGTGGGTAGAATTTTAATTTGCTGGTCCAAGGCAAATTAAAAGAAATATGTATTTTATATATTATATACCATCTCCTTTTCTACTTTGTTTAAATATTATTTTTTTCTTCCTTTTTTTTTCAAAGGGCTGATGATCTTTTTTACTTTTTCTATTTTTGTTCTACAAAATATAAATATATGGAAATAGCAAGCACAGACAGCTTTCAATTGGTAAAGTGTTAAAAGCAGAAGTTCTTTGTTAGTTATAGCTGTAGATTGGAGCCAACAAGCGTTATCTCTTTCTCGGGTAGCAGACATATGGGAATCCAATATAGGTGAATTAGGCCTCTTAGAAAAAACTTAATCTTAATTATTTTAACTTAAAACTTTATAAGAAAACTTAATCTGTTTGCTGGGTAGCTACCTAAGAATGACTTGTTTCATTTCTCAAGGTTAAATTCAATATACTCAGTAATGAAGAGAAGCTTCAGAATTATAAAGATGATTTGAAAAAACTGCATTTTGAGTTCGAACAAGATTTCAAGATTTTCAAGCAGTATGAAATATTTTTATCATGCCTTTCAACGTAAACTGTGAAGCAGTGAGGTCAGATCTGCAGCTTGAATTGCAATCTAACAATTATCTCAAGCAGTTTTTTTCTAAATGTGCCAAAGTTAGAGTTTATAAAGCATTATTGAAAGTAAGTTTCCCAAATTTAATATCTCATGCCCAGATAATGAGTGCTATGTTTGCTTTATCTTACATATGTGAACAAGTATCTTCAACTATGAAACTTAGAACGAATCATTTCAGAAGTATACTGACAGATGAGCATTTACCCTCGTTCCTTAGATTCAGTACATCTCACTTCGAAACTCAATATAAGGAACTTTTAGAAACGAAATTTCAATTTCATGCAGCTCATTAAAATATTTAAATTGTAATACTTGTATATTGTTTTTAAAATTTTAGAAAAATTTATCCTGGCCTGCCAAACTTTTTGTTTCCGACTTTTGGCCTGCAACTGAAAAAGTTTGCACATCCCTGGTCTATAGGAAAAACTACGCACTTCCGGAATTGACTCAGATATGATATAAAATCTTGCAAGGTATGCATTGCTAGAGTTAACATTTGCCTACCTTATGCCATATTTACTCACATATTTCTTTTCTCCTCCCAATTCCTTCTAACAATTTCAGAGAAAGATTTAGAAACTTTTAATTTATTTCATAATTTTCAGTTAGTTCCTAAATTTAGAAAATGAACTCTTCCACTATAGTAATCACTTTTAGGAATTTTTCAGAATTATTTGCATTTGATCTTTCAAAATCTTAGCCAAGGCCATACATTCTCTTTCTAAGTAGAAATAAAAGATAGAATATCTTCAAACTCCATGAAAGCATACATTTCCCATTTTAACATCCCAAGGTTCACCTCCAGCAACTAGTTACAGTAGAATACTGAAGAAATAATTTTTTTACTTGCTTAGATTCTTTTACCATTTACAAAAATCTCCAGACTAAATTACAAAGCTTAGCACAAAATTTTGCTTTTACCCGCAGTCCTATAAAAACGTAGCAATGCATAGACCCATTGTTTAAGAAATTAACAGCAATATACAATGCAGAAATTTAAAAAAAAAAATATGCTGAAGCAATAACAGTCATGCTGATATGTCTATTTCATATACACTCCAACAAAATAAGTTCTCACTTAGAACTAGCAGACACTCCATAACTTTTTCCTATCAATTTCAAGAGATAATATTAGAGAAAAAATATAAGAAATTGCATTAGTAAGTACAGTATACTATGCCAGTGGTTTCAAACTGGTGGTCCGTGGGTCACATGCACTTCCCAAAACAATTATATGTGGCCGATGAAAGCTTTTCAACAGTATATTTGTTGCAAATTCAAAGATTTTAAGATTTTAGTTATTTGAAGTAAGAGTTAATATTAGTTAATTACCATCAAAACCAAACATAAATAATACACCAGATAATTTGTAATTGAATTAATTTACAGCATGATGTAAATCTTGTGGAAAGATTTGAAGATACAGATTCTTAACTTTTATTCATACTTGTTCCACATAAATCAGTTATGAATTTTTGCATAAAGAATTATCTCTTTTGTTCCGGAAAACATTTATACGTGAATAGCTTTTCTTTATAATTAAAAGATAATTAAAAAAATCCAATTGACCAATGAACATCTACAAGCTGCCATGAAAATAATTTTTAGTATTTCCTCTTAAAAGCTATAAACTTTATCAGAGCCATCAAAAGCCATTTACAATTGTACACATACAAAAGTATGTACTTTATTTAGACATTGACAAAAAATTAAATAGATAAGAGAAAGAAACTAAGTTGCCATTATTTATTCTTAAGTTTTGTCCCCCTCGAAAAATTATCTCTGGAAAAGTTAGGAAAGTTCTTATAATTTTTCAATTTATATTAAAATATATTTAATGATTAATTAAACATGTTAGAACTATTTTAAACACCAGTCTGAATATTTAGCCATTAATATATTTGAGTAACAGTGTAATGAATAAAAATGTTTTGCAGGTACCAAACTTTAAATTTCAGATAGAAAATATAAATTTGATTTTCCTTTGCCGTATTATTATGATTTATTTATGTTTTGAAATACTTAGTAAGCAAAATTTTAAATTTACTTAAAACATTTCTCAATAAAAATTTAAAAAAAAAAAAAAAAGAAAAAGAAAAAAAAAAAAAAAAAATCTGTCCCATGGACAATTTGATTTGAAACCACTGTACTATATCATAGCAACTAATAACTTGGGGCCTTTTATAAGTGAAGCATGATAAATTCATATAACAGACAGGCAAGATTGCTTTTATTTCTGCACTAAACTAGTCCTTTAAAAAAAATCTAGAAGTCAGTAATAGCTTTAAAATTTGCATTTCAGTAAATTTATGGCAGGTGGTAAGGCAAAGAGAACAAAAATGGATAAAATTACAGAAGGGTAAAATAATTTTCTAATGGTAAGTTTTAATTATATCCATTAAGATAAAACTAAATATTATTCTCCACACATGGCTTTATTTCTGAACTATCCCAGGTCAGGATTACACTAAGCTGTTGTGAAATAATGATTTTTCTAACACAGAAAGATAATTGTATCTAAATACAGAATAGTTATATTGTCCCATGTTGCTTGTCATGAAAACAATTCTTACTCTTAACTGTTAGGAAATAAGAATAATAAGCCAGAATAATAAGCCATCACCTTCGGCATTAAGGACCATCCAAATATCCAGACTAGAAATCTTAAGATTTTTTGTAATAGAGCTACTTAAAACCACAAGTACACAGCATCACTGGCAATTTAAAAAAAATTATTGCAGTTGCATATATCAAGTATCCTTAAAGAAATGATTTTTCTGCCATCCAGATATCTTATCTCATCACCTTAAATTGCTCAGTAATGATGGCAGTAACATTCAGAATTCACTACAAGGCATTTTCCATTCTTTATGGAAGTAGTACTATCTATCAGACATAATTATAATTAAAAAAATTGAATAAAATTACTTTTTATGGCCCATGGTATTATGAATTTTTATGCTAGTCGAATTACCACATTCATCAAATTCACTGAAATACAATTTTTTTTTAAATGTTTCTTGACTTTTAGAATACCCTGTACATAAGTTCCAATGGAATATACAATATGAATCTTTGTTGCTTATTAGGATTTCACACAGAAGAGATTATATCAAAGAAATACTCACAATTTTTAACTTCTTGATATCTATAATTGCAGCTGGAAATTCAATAATTTCATGCGGATAGAAAGTTTTACTTGAGCAATTTATACAAGTTGCTTCAAAGTCAATGACACAAATATAATTATAGGAACATCTTGTTTCCATTTGCCTTTTTAATACATATTCAGCAGCAGAACTATCAGTGGTACATATATCACATATTCTTTGTCTCATTACACTTTTGCTTGCCCTAAAATACAATTCTATAATTAAAAAATTAGATAAGGTTGAAATTAAACAACTGATCTGCACATATTAAAAAGAAATAACATGAAAGTCTCACTAATTAGGTGTTGAACACTCTGACCACTGAATTTGTGGACCGAAATCGCTTAAAAAATGATGTAAGTTTTTTTTTTTTTTTTTTTTTTTTTTCATATTTTAAATCTATATATATTGGAGAATTGAAAAATGCATTTTTCCTTTCTAGAAAATATTTTTTATATAGATTTTTATCATGAGAAAACTAAGTTACCAGAGAAAACCAATTTCAGATGTTATTACCAAAAAAAATTTTTTTAAAAATAAATTTCAGTCAAATTACAGTTAATTTCTATTCATTGCATAATATAAAAAAGTAAAATATATAAAATTTAAGGAAATATAAAGCACCAAGTGATAAAATATCTTAGAAATGCAGTTTAGTGTAATAGAGTTCAAAGAAGGGTTCAAACTTCACACTCTGTGAAGTCCAACTTCACAGCCTTTGCACCAGATTCAATAAATCTAATTAATAATCCAATAATTTAATTAAATAATCCAGATAATCGCTGAATGTTTTCTAGCAGGTATTCTGTAAGAAAAAAGCGGCAAAAAGTGGAGTTTGAGCGGTAATACCACGTGCCTTCAAACGCCGCAATTTAGTGGACAATTAACGATATCTGTTGGTAAAGCGTAAACTAAATGTCTAATACTGCATATAATTTATTTCAGTGGTTAAACGGGAAAAAAAAACGGGATGCGCTCCTCAGTAAAGGAAGAAAAAAACATGCCCGCGGAAATCATGGGATGAGTAGCCAGAGGATTAATAGTAAAGCTGATATAATTCATCATAAAAATGCCTCCATGAAGGACATTCTAAGACAAATGTCTCATAATCATGCTGCACACTGGGATATCTATAAAAATACCCAAGTAGCCAGCCCATTTTGATGGGATTTGAACCTAGATGAATTATTAGCAACACTTAACAAAGGCAGGGTTAACATCCAAAAGATATGCAGCTTTTATTCAGTTTTCTAATCTCGAATTCAGTATTTAGTTTTTTTTAAACTAGATATTCAGTTTTTTAATCTCAAATTTTTTATATCTCAAATGGCAAGATTTCTTTGATACCTTGTTAAAAAATAATTGCTAATAAATGAGAAATAGTACATTCTATTTTTCTTTTAATTGCACTTGGGTACTGAAAATGAACAACACTGCACATTTCAAAATATTTTCTTAAAGAAGCAATACTCTATAACAGCGTTTTAAGAAAAAATTATTATTTGCAACATATTTAAACTAAAATGTAGCCTTATATATATAGCTGGAGGTTGCTAGCCATGCTGTTACACTGACACAGTTACAGCTGTTTCTAGGCTTATATGAAAATATTTAAAAAGAAAATTGAATCAGGCAAAATAAATGTCCTTTATTTTCATCCATTTTAAATGCTTATGCTGGGAAAACTAACATTCCTTCATATGAAATTTGTAGCATAGCACTAACTTTTACTGCTATTTCACTTAAGCCTCTTGTCAGTCAAACAGCCTTCAATTTATGCACCTGTCACTTACTCCACTCATTTCACTGAACAACCAACAGGCACACATAAAAATAGTATCAATAATAATTTTACAGTTAATCAACCTTTAAGAGAAAGAAATCTACTATATTTTTAGTATATCAAGAGGCTCCACTTACAGTACTTTCTTTGGTAATATATAAGCAATTAAGAATATTATGCATTAGACATTTTGTAAGAGTCAAGTACCACTATAATACATTATTGCATTTCGTTTTCAAAGTTACGCAATAAACTTTTAAGATTTATTATTTATTATTTTGTCTATAAATGCTGAGAAATGTATTTCTTTGAAATTTATGTGAAGGGGTTATGTAGTCACATATTACATTGATTTATTAGGCCAAGTAATACATGTTATACAATGCAAAAACAAACAATAGATTTCTGCATCTGTTAGTTGATCGCTGATTGGAGCATTGTCACCACAATGAAAAACTTGTGTTATACACTGAAGAGACCAAAAACCGGTACACCTGCCTAATATCATGTAGGGCTCTCACAAGCACGCAGAAGTGATGCAACACAATGTGGCATGGATTCGACTAATGTCTGAAGGTGTACTGGAGGTAATTCACACTATGAATCCTGCACGACTTCCTCAGCTCCAGGGATTGCATAGCCTCAAAGACCTTCTTCAGAATTACTACAGACAGGGGGGCATCAGAAACATCACAGAATATGTCTATTCTAAGAGAAACATAATCATAGAAGATAACCAGGTCTAGGCACCTGATGAAATGTAAAGGGAGCAAACCTCTATTCATGCACATATGTAAATATATCTAAACTAACTAACCTTGTTTGCTAATTTTTATACTAACATACCCAAAACATTGTAAGTTGGAGCACCCAACAAAAGTAATACACTAATGTTAAATCTGTTTATTAATAATAAAGTTGAGAAGATAAACAACCAAAAAAAGTTGCTGGTGCAGTGATCAAGATAACATGACTGATCTGTAATGCCCATTAAGAGGTGAAGCAGGAGGTATAATAGTAAATAAATAAATAACATTCATAGGAGTGCAAGATGACAGAGATCTCTTCTGAACAGCCCTTTGTAAGGCATCGCAGACAGGCTCAATAATGTTCATGTATGGCAATCTAGGTGGCCATTGTATGTATCTAAAGTCAGAAGATTGTTCATGGAGCTACTCGGTAGCAACTCTCAATGTGTGGGGTGTAGCATTGTTTTGCTGGAAATGTCCAAGTCCATCGGAATGCACAATGGAAACGACTGGGTGCAGGTGATCAGGCAGGATGTTTATGTATCTGTCACCTGACAGTCATATCTAGATGTATTAGGGATACCACATCATGCCAGCTGCACACAGCCCCATGCCATGAAAGAGCCAAAGAACGTCTATGCAAAGAAGGAAAGGTTCCATAGACATAATGTAAACCAGTTTGCTATTATGCCGCTAAAAAGCAGAGGAAAAACTCGCCAAGGAATTTGGTGACAGAACCTGACGGCGAGAATTTCCCCTTGGCAATGTGTACAGGAAATTTAGGTTCATGTGTTAAGAAGAAATTTTCTTTGACAAAAGTTTTTCGCAATAACTTAAACTCGGATTTTCGTACTTTTATTTGCTCAAAATAACTAACCCATTAATTAATTTACTTGTGCAAAAAAATATTTTCTTTTCCTTTAAAGTTTAAAATTAAAAATTATATTCATTTTACGAACTCTTGATAAACCTGTACTTCAAACTTTGACGCCGGCTTCATGTTTTGGTGATAGATGTTTCGTGCATGCACAGTTGTTTCCCTCTATGTTGGGATGGAGATACTCCAGTTGTGGAGAAGTTTTCTTTCTTAACAATACGTATTCTTTGACAGAGCCTCTACCAGCCACAACAGTTCCCTGTTGATATGCAGGGTTAATGGATTCATGAGGTTGCCTCCATAACCATATATGTCCATCCACCCAATACAACTGGAAATGAGACTTGTCATATCAGGCAATGTGTTTCCAGCCATCAATCCAATGGCAGTGTTGGCGGGCCTAGGTAAGGTATACAGCTTTGAGTCCTGGAGTCAACAATGGTACGCAAGTGGGCCTTCAGCTCCAAAAGCCCATATCAATGACGGTCCATCTAATACTTTGCACATACGCACTTGATGATGCCCCAGCACTGAAATCTGCAGCAGTTTGAGGGAGGGTTGCACGTCTGCTACATTTAATGTTTCTCGTCAGTCAGTGTTGGTCCCATTCTTTCACAAGTTTTTTTCCATCCGTAGCAATGTCGGAGATTTGATGTTTTAGTGAATTCCCAATATTTACGAGACATTTGTGAAATGTGAAGTCCAAATTTTGCCTTGGAGATGCTATGTCCCATCTCTCAAATGCCAACTATAACACCCTACTCAAACTCACTTAAAACTTTATAACCTGCCGTAGCAGCAGTAACCAATCTAACGACTTTGACAGACACTTGTCTTATATAGGCACTGCTTGTTCGAGATTTGCAAGAACTAACCGTTATCATTTCTCCTAATGAACTTAAAACAATTTTACATCTAATATTCTAAAGCGTCATGTTTATTTTCAAAATCCTAAGCACACTAACAAATTACAACAAAGATCAGAAGGTTGCCACTCTTCACTGTGTCAAACTATGAATGAAAGCTAACAACTGAGGACTGGTTCTAACACTGCTGATCACCACACTTTACTGTGATTGCTTCCATACCTCTCTTATTTGCATACATATATTCTACACCAGTTTTTTTGGCTCTTCAGTGTATCATCTTCATTTATTATCATGTCCCTACATTTCATCAAAAATTACATTAATCAGAATATTTTGGATTCTACAGCATTTAAAATTAACAGTCAGCTAAAGTTATTGTTTTGTTTAATTTGGAAATTGCATTTCCTTAAGCTTGCATTGTTTCACGGCTGCTACATACCAAATATACTTTCATTCTGCAGATCTTGCTATAGCTCCAGAATTACAAAATCTTTTCAACATTAACAGAAATTCAAACATCAATTTTGATATAAGATAGCTGTAACAATAATAGACTGCAAAAAATAATGAACTAGATCAAATTAGACAGTTATAGAACAGCACGATTTATTATGTGAGCAGAGCTTAAGTCTTTTGAATTCTTTCTTTCTCTTTACTATCCCAGCAAAAGAAAATCTGCATTAGCAAGTATTGTGCTCAACAATATGCCTTGGTGTTTCACTTATTGTTTAGGTCAGACAGATGAATGTTCCCCATCCTCCTGCACAACCCCCCCCGAAGGTCCAGAAGCATGATTGTGGCTAATGTCAATCAATATTGCATTCTTCAGGAAGTAAATGCAAAAGGCCAAGCTACTAAACAAGTGGTGCAATCTGATGACCTTCCATGTGTTGAAAGTAAATGATAATAATTTTAATACTGAAC